TTTATTTGTGGAGCACAGCGGACAAATCAATTTGGAGACTGTGAAGGGAAAGAATGAAACTTTTTATTATCTGGATACTCCTAGTTATATATGAAAAACAATTTTGAACTGTCAGTGGGGCATGATGAAGCCCCGAGGTGTGAGCTATGAAGTGTGCCTAAACCTTTTGGAAACCAGAACTGTTCAGAAGGTTTGCCTTAATGCTGTGTGTTAAAGCTGGGTCACTGCTGTGAGTCCCATGTTCCATAATCATGACTTGGGTGATAGAACAAGGGATGTTCTCATTATGTGGTACAGAAAGGCAGCCTGGCAGCATGGTAGAGGACCAGATTATCATTCAGAATGACTGTGACTACTTAAAGAACTATGACAAATGAAAAAGCTGCAAAATAATGCAGTCAAGAACCTGTTACTGCACCTGGGCCCATGGGCTGCACAGGATGGGGAGTAGGAGGATGTCCTCCAAATGGAGAATGTCCTCCCAGGTGTAAAATGTTCTTGTCCCATGTTCTTTTGTTGGGCATTTTGGATAGCATAATGCTGTAATTCAGCATGTGGTCTGTTGTGCCTGGCCCTGGGTAGCTCCTGCTGTGCTGGTCAGGCCATTCCTTCAATACTGACTTCCCTGAGAAAAGCCAGGAGACACCAGTGAGTGCTGTTAAAAGCTTTTAGAAAGCAGCCTGTCAGGAGAGTTAAAATGTGAAACCTGACAGCAGATAACCTGTTAAACACCCTTCAAGTAGCACAAGGCGGTGGAACTGATGCACAGGAGATGAGCAGTTACATTTTTTGCTGTGTAACCCAAAGAGATTTGCTCTGTCCAGGAATGGGGTGCCTGCAGGATCACTTGGTGCAGGGCAGGTGGAATGTACTTGCTCAGAAGTGCCTGAGGTCCAGCCAGCACTGCCTTCAGGTGTGTGTGGGAGTGCAGCCTGGAAAAGCAGGAGCACGAGCACTAGGCCTGTCTGTGATTCCTTGGGGTGCAGAGCTCACTGCTGGAACTGTGCTCCTTCATGGGCTTTTACAGAAGCCTTGGGTGCCTTCAGAACACTTCTGCAAAGAAGCTGCAGAGCTGCATTCCTCTGTTTGCCAAAGCCTAGAAATTATTTGCATGCCAGTATTGTGGAGGTAGGTATCTGAAGTTATTCTTACAGCCTTGAATTCCCAGTTTTTGAAGATGCTGCAGCCTTTAGTTGTGGCTTTTGGAGGGAGCATTGTGTGCATATCTCGGTGTGTTCCTGGCAGGCCAGCTCCTGTAGCGGGCTACAACGTGCAGCCCCAGCAGTTCAGCCATCCCTCTGCTCAGGTGTGTGCCCTCCCTCTGTGAGCAGGGCTGGGGACTGCCCTGGGGGCACTTCAGAACCAGAACTCCTCTCGGTTCTGCTGCAGTCCCACCTCCTTCTTCAGGACTGGGAAGGGAATTTTTATAGTTCCCAGCTTACTCTGAGTGTGCAGGGGCTCACAGGTGTGTGCCAATGGGGGTGTCTGTTTGGGAAAGGAGCAGTACAATGGCAGTAGTGGTTTCTTGAAGCAGAATGGAGACCTGTTCCTAATCTTTAGCTGTTGAGACCTTGAGTGTTTGTAGAAAGCAGGGCAAGTTGTCCAGGGATGGCTCTGCTCTCAGACTGCTCATTGGCTGGAGCAGTAGCTCCGAGGGTGACTTCTTTAAGCAACTGTTCTTCCCTGTCCTCATGTCCTTGCAAGTGCACTAAAGCCCAGTATATTGAATTCCTGTTGAACCACTGTCGGGAGCAGTGTAATAACCCACAGGTTTGCAGTTAATGTGCTGGATGGTGAGCATGGTTTAAGGGATTCAAGTGTCTGAGCATTAGATGTGTGGGGAGGACATTCCCGCTCCCTGCAGGAGCTCTGATTGATGCTCAGTTTTCAGTGGCACCTGGTTCAACTTGGCTGTGCCACCCAGCTTTACCCTGTGTTCCCACTTCAGGGGCTTTACCAACAGTGCCAGGTGACATCTCCATCGCCGGTTGGGCTCACAGCAGCGTCTGTGTGGCACAGTGGGCCAGATGGGGATCTCAGCCCACCTTGCAAAAATGGATTTCTTTCCCTTTAGCCAAATCAGTTCTTCCCCATCTGGTTAATCGCTCAGACGTGGGGAGAGCTGTGCCAGCACGGAGGGGGTGTGATGTGTGAACGGGAATGAGTTCCTGGAGGGGTGTGGGAGGATGAACGTTGGTCTTTAAGCAGCTTTTCTACTGCTTATGAAACCACAGGCTGGGCGACCACAGCTCCTTGTGCAGTGGTGGTGTTCTATATATTCCCTCACTTGAGATTCAGCGTCACTCACTCTTCCGCCGCGTGGTCCGCACTGCCTTGTCCTTGAAACTCCTGCTCCCAGCGTGTGCTGCTGGGTGTCCTGTGCTTGGTAGGGCTGGGCCATGGAGAACCTGTTCCTATGGCAGAGGGAGGCCAGTGGCCTGCCCGAGTCCCTCTTGCAGAGGAATCCTCTCCGGTGGATGTTACAGTGACTGTGGCCTTGCGGGGGTTGTGGTGGCTCTGCAGGAGCTAAAGATGGAGCGCTCTGCTGCACTATCCTCTGGTGGGGTTTGCTGTTACCAGATTTAAATTCATTAAGGGGGAGGGCTCCAGCAGTCACAGGGGCAGGGAAGTTTTCAGAGCACTGGAGCATCCTCGTGGTGGGATTGCAACCCTGCTGTGATGCAGCCCTGGCATTTCTCCTTCTATCCCCTAAACCTACCTCACCCATGTGTAGGTAACCTATAGCCTATTCCTGTATTCTCCACAGGTATTTAATTGAATAAACCTATTTATTGCAATGTACAAATGATATCCAAGCCGTTGCTGCCAAGCAGTCTTTGATATCAAGCTATGCTTTTTAAATAAATTTCAATAACGTTGCTACTAAGTGGTTTTATAGACCATTACTTTTGGCCAATTCATGAACTATTACACTAACGTATTTTCAGATGAATTGCCTTTATTATTCTACTAATACAATTAATGTATCTTCTCATGGTTACCTCGTCCTGCACTTTGTTTCTGTGAGAGGTGTAACATCATTAACCATGTAGGAACAGCCTTTACCTGGAAACCTGCTGTGCTCCCCAGGGCCCTGGGTGTGTTTCTCAGAAACCATAAAGGCACTCAGCGTATATTTTCTTGTCTGCTTATGTAGGAAACATTCATGCCAATCTAATTGGAAGGGAATAAACCAGTGAAATTCCTTGTGGAGGGTGGGATGTTACCTGGGGGTGAAGGGCATTTCACAGTGTGCCCTGTGCCAGTGTCTGGGATGTGGAACCAGCCTGTGGATGAGTGAAATGAGAAGAGGATGATCAGGAGAGAAGGTAAATTACTGAGTTCAAAGGGCTTAGGGGCCAGGACAGGAGGTGGCCACCCTTGACATTCCTGCAACCAGTCCCTGGGACTCTGGAGCTGCAGCCTGGAATGTGCTGTGGGAGCGGGGACCTTCAGCTGCACCCCCAGCTTTTTCAGTCAATGCCATCAGAAAGGTTTCACATATGCCAGCATCGATTGGGCTCTTCCCAGTCTCTGTCTTTTCTCAGCTTTCAGCTTTAAAGTTTTCTTTCTGCCAGCAGTGTGGGCACTGGGAGCGGGGGCAGAGTGGAAAGCTGAGTGCACTTAGGTGAGTGTTGCTGCCTGTCCGTGGTGAGGCTGCTCCTCAGCGTGGCAGCTTTGCAGGGCACAGCCGTGTCAGCTGTGAGTCCTTAACGCCTGCGTGGTGCCCGTGGGCATGGCTGGGGGTCAGCCTGCCAGGGAGCCTGCTGAGCCCCTGAGTGCCCCCAAGCCTTGACCCTGCCCTGGGAAAGCAGCAGCCCTGCCTGTGCTGCTCCTGCACTGCTAACTGAGCTGTTGGGGTAAAGCACTTGAGTGTTGGTACGTGTTGTAAACGTGGTTGGTTACCAAAATTAGTGCCTTGCCTCCTGGTTCTTAAAAATAATGGCACGTTGTGCTCGTCTGGCGGCTCTGGGGACATCTGGTGCTGTCAGAGAAACGTGACTGCTGAGGGGCCGAGCAGGCAATGCCCTGTCCAGAGGAAGATCTTAAAATACCAACTAATAAGCTTTAAAATTACTTCAACAGTAGGTATTTAGGAAAAGGGTGGAAGGGACTTGGGGAATGCATTTCTCTGCCTGACTCTTTAAAAAGTAAAAAGTTACAAATGTGGATTTAGTCTGATCTTGAATTTTGAGGGCGGCACAAATGAAGAGGTAGAATCTATTCTGTCTGAAGTGATATGAATTGGTTTTATGGATACTTTAAATCCATTTTTTACTGTAGTTATGGTTCAGTTCATTCTTTTGTTGTGCTGTACAGCATCACAGTGTTAATCCAGTGATCTGTTGTAGTTCATTATTTTTAGTTTCATTTTTTTAGACTACTGGTTTCAACAGCAAAGCTATTTTAGTAGTTTCGCTCAACTTTTCCCATAATCGTGTTTGCCGTTCCATTGGGATGTTGATATAAAACTGTAACGGGAAGGAAGGGCTCTGTGACAGCTTTGAGCAGATCTCTTCATGCAAATCTGCTTTTCTCTCCTATGTAAATGTTATGGGGAAGTGTAATAGATATGTAAGCTGTTAAGTATGAACCAGCTGGATTTTCTGGCTTTGTAAGGCTTATATTCACTGCTCTACCTTTGTACTCCCACAAGGTGAACTGGGCAAAGGGGGAGCTTGGGTGGGTTGAGTTAAACCTGGCTCCTGATGAGTAGCCCAGACTTTGCCCATCTTGTCATGGCTCCGATAAAATAGTGTGGCTTTGTTTGGTTTTGGTTTTATTTTCTAACCAAAAGGTACTGGTAACGTCTGTAAATTGTCATAACAAGCAATTTTTAAAATTACTGTCGAACCAAAACTGATATTTCTGGAGATAGTATAACCTTCTACTTGGACTAAATGGATGTTTTGTGTTTAATAGTCTCCATTCTAATTTAAAGATACATTCCATCAGCATTAACCATATAAAATTGTATTCATGCAACTCTTCTCTTCTAGAAATGACTGCTGTCACTGCAGCCAATGTGAACTTCAAATGGGACCCTAAAAGCCTGGAGATAAGAACACTGGCGGTTGAAAGGCTACTTGAGCCTCTTGTTACACAGGTGGGAAAAAAATAGGGGTAAAATAAACCTTCATAAAGATGTTTTGATGTATTATTTCAGTTAGGGAACCTGTAGAACTTAAATTCCAAGAGTAAAAATACCAAAAAATTAAAGATGGAAAGACATATACAAGGAGTTTCTTTGTTCAGCTTTATTGTAAGAGTTACTGGGCAGGAGTGTAACAAGACTGTGCTGCTTCAGCACTGGATCAGAAGTGCAGAAAAGCATGTTCGTAACTCATTTCCTGCCTGTGGTTTGTCTGGGATTTGTGAAGAAGAGCCTCTTTCTCCATGGTGTACCTGTTCCCAGGAAATGCACCAAAGAGTAGAGGAAGGCTGGAATAAGGCTTGGAAATGGGAGCTGTGGCATTGGGCATTTTGAAGATTCAGGGAAGAGGCTTCCCGGGAGGTTGGGAAGAGTAGGTGCACTGGAGACAGTTCACTCATCCCTTCTAACATTGTTTTCCTGGAATGTGGAATGTCTAAAATGACAGTATGAACTGGACATGATTCTTGCGAAGTACAGACTGGAATGATCATGTTTTATTTCCAGTATTAATATCCCCTTAGTCATCAAACTGCTTTTCCCTCTGGATCCTCAGGTAGGCAGTTCTATTGGAAAGCTTTTTAGCTGAAGTTCTTGATGGAGTCTTAAGAGAAGTTGTCTTAGTTTGGCAAACTTAACCGAGCAAACTACTTCATAGAACCTTTTTGTCCAATTTCAGTGTCTGTAACTTATTCTTCAAGGAAAACAGGCAAATCCCAAACTTTCTGAATGATGTGACTGGCAAAATACAGAGAGGGAAATGGAGCAAATTGTTTTGTTGCAACTTCTTTATTTGTAGGACATGATGAACTGAGATTACTCAGTACAAATGCTCCCCATTTACCAACATGATATTCCCAGCTGATGGCTTTCCCTCTCTGAATCAGCCCACTGAGAAGATGGATTCAGCTCTGAGGACCTTTATGTCAGAAGTCCTCAGGCTTTCCAGAGTAATAACTTTTTTAGTGTTATTTAACATCCCATTGAAGTAGCTTTGTATGCATTTTCCTAGGCTTTCCAAAAAGGAGAGGAGAGGGAAAAAAGAAAGGCAAATGGAGAAGTGTGTGTGTATTTTGTGACATGTCTGTGTTTGATAGAAGGGGATGGATCCTGGTCCTGAGCTAAGAGTACCTGTTGGTCATCTGGCTGCTGGTGATGGCCCTGGTCCCACAGGGTTTCAGTCTAAAACATAGAATTGGAGATATTGGTTGATTGCAGGAGGATTGTGAGAGCTCAGTTTGGGTTCTGTTAAGGAAATAATGAGCTCTCGGAGGTCCTTTGCATTCAGCCCATTGTCTGTAGTACTGTTCTGAACTGAAGAGACACTATTTCTAGATTTCTATAGATCCAGACTTCAACCTTGTTTGGGGTCTCTTATGATTGGAGTATTATCCCCACCTTTGTTTCCTTTATGTGGTGCCAAAGAGCTCTGGCCTGTTACTGAGATTGCAGTTTATCAAGAATACAAATAGATCTCCATTCTGAAATCAACTTTTAGGTCTGCTGCTGATAAGAAAAAACTGTAAGCTATTTAGCTGCATTTATAATGCTCATCTAAAGAATCAAGAAGCATGGTCATGTTTAAACAGATGTTAAAAACACTTGCTAGGTTAACTGTTGGAGCTGGCAATATGCAGGTATTGTCACTGCACTGTCTAGTAAAAAAATACATGTGGCATTACTGTCAAATTGATAAACACCTCATTTACTTCTTGTTTTGGTTTTTTTTTTCCCTTCCACCTGTGCCTTTAGGTGACAACACTGGTTAACACCAGCAACAAGGGCCCCTCTAATAAAAAGCGAGGGCGTTCTAAAAAGGCCCATGTTCTGGCTGCCTCAGTTGAACAAGCAACAGAGAATTTCCTGGAGAAAGGAGACAAAATCGCAAAGGAGAGCCAGTTCCTCAAGGAGGAGCTGGTGGCGGCGGTGGAAGATGTCCGCAAGCAAGGTAAGGGTGGTGTGTCTGGTGGCTTGTCAATCCCTGGCTCTTCAGGGTAAGTTCCTTTTGCTGGTATTTCCCTTTGCTTGGTTTCTGACTCTGCACCCCTCCACTTGGGTGGATTCTCAGCTTGCCTGGCTGGCACCCTCGAGGAGCAATATGAATTGGAGAGATCTGGGAATTGGATGTCCCAAGTAGAGATTAAGAGGAGAAGCAGAAGGGCTGATTCTTTGAAGAATATTTAAAAACTCAGTTTAGGCTTAAAAGTAACACACTCCTTCCCCCTCCCCCCCCAAATTTTATGGAACTACATCTCAAGAGTCAGTAACTTCTTCAATATTTCAGTGCATACAGACCAGCGTTGTAGGAGGAAGAGCCAAGTGTTGACTTGACAAAGATGTGTATCTTGAATATGCAAAATGTAAACAGCAACAAACAGAATGTGAAGACCTTGGTTAAATATTCCAGGCTTCCTCCCCCACATCTAGTGTTGATTTTTATAATTTTCTTTTTTACTTTCTTAGAGAAGACCTCCAAGAAAAGCCTGTGGAGCTGACTTACTCTAAAATATGCACTAGTAAATATTGTTGTTCATAAATCATTTATCATTCTTCCAGTCATGAGTCTTTTCTATGCTTCAGTGAAACCCAGTCAACTGGCATTAATGGTGACGACTGCTCCTGCAAAAAAGGGAAAGCTCATTAGCATTAATTACTTGTTTGTAGCTGAAGTTGCAGAGCGGTGAAATATTAGTTAGAAATGGTTCTAAGTTCTGGATGATCCTGGCTGACAGACCAAAGAAAGATCAAGGTAAGAAGGCTGCAAAACAAGAGGCTAATTGAGTTGGCTTAATTTAACAACAACAAGCAGCAAAAGAGGCCTCTTTGACTCAAAGCTTTAATTCCTGGTGCTTGCAGCTCAGAGTTGAGAGTCAGAGCTCCTCTGGGAGTGCCTCCAAGTGACTCTGTGATACCGGTGAGCAAGGGAGCTGTGCTCAGCCCTGGGGATTGAGAAGTTCCCTGAGCTGGATTTATGGATGTGCCTTGCAGTGAGAAGCTGGTAGGAATGAGAGACTGATAGAAAAACCTTCTGGGTGGCCCTTTCACTTGTTTCTTGGCCTCTCCTTGGTTTTGAGACTACCCATGGGCCAAAGCCTCGCTGCTCTGCTGGGCTCTGCCGGGAGGTGAAGTGCATGGCTGAGAGGTACTGGAGTGAAACAATTTCCCACCTTAGTGTCGTTTCACCTCCTCCTCCCTCTTTGCAACTTGCTTGTGGCCTGGTGCAGGGAGAGAGTGGCTGTGCCTTTCTTGAGGCTGGTGTGTGCCCAGACTGGAGGGGGTCCCCTGGATACAGCTGGTGCCCCCCCTCATTTGTGGGGAGCAGGGCTCAAAGCTGTGCCCTGCCACGGGGCCAGTGTTTGGCCGTGTTCAGCTCAGCAGCTCTTGGTAAGGAAATTAAAATCCAACCAGCCTTTGAGGAAACCAGAAGCAAGAGATGAAAAATGAGACAAGAGAGGGAAGGGTTGTTGCCAGCAGGGCCTGGGAGGATTGCAGTTCTCAGCAGTGCTCGTAACAGCGAGGAGGTACAACCTCCCAACATACGTGTTTATATCCATTCCATGCACTTATGAAGCGCTCCCAGTACTGTGGTAGACCAGTTGGAATTAATGAACTGGAGAAACAAGGGAAGTGTGATCCAGAGCCTCTGTGTGTGCTTGGCAAGTCTTCCTTGTGTCGGTGCCTTTATCTGCCTTTTGCACCAGGGGCAGCAGTGGAGAGGAGAGTCTGGGTGTTGTGGTCAGCAGCAGGGTGATCAGGAGCTGTGTCTGAGAGCAGTGCGATTACAGAGAGAGAGCACAATTTATCTTCAGCAGGGGACAGGAAAATAGAATTAATAACGCCTCTATTTAGAGTAGGGAGAGGTTTAGTTACCATAATAAAAAAAGATGAATGAATGCAGACGGGGATTATGAAGATGATTAGGACAATAGATAACTTGTCTCATCAGAAAAAATTAAAAAAATTTTTTTTAGCTTAGCAAGAAGAAGATTGAGAGAGTACATGATTTTAGTGAGCAAGCTTGTTCATAAAATCCCATTTGCTGGGGGTAAAAACAAAGAAGTGAAAAGAGCTATTTGGAATGAATAATAGCATGGCTACATACTAAATCAATGTAAGTGGGTCTTCAAAGTCTTCCTGTTTTCTACAATGGAAGGATAAATTATAACTTCCTTTAAATATTAAAAAAATTAATGAAATCTCCTACAGTAAGATTCCTGACCCTTTAAAGATTTGGACTTCTGGTGTTTTATAAAGCAGTGGAACTTCTTAAGATTTTGAGCAGAATAGTGGAGGTAAAGAATCAAAATGTTTTTGAGAATAGATGCTGCTGGACTTGGTGCTGGGCAAACATTTGATGTGAATGCCTCAGATTTCGTCGTCCTTGCAGCATTTGTTACAGTCATTTCTGCCATTGGGGCTTGCTGGGTAACAGAGGGGGCAATGTTGGTCTTGCCCAGCCTTAGTCCCCCCACTGTGAGCCCTCTGTGGGTTCCACCTCCTCATGAACTATGAAGTCTTGGAGTGTTCAGCTCTGCTGGTGCTGCTGGGAGGTGTTTTGGAACTGAACCAGTTCCTTATCCAGGTGCTTGGCACTGAGACTGGTTCCAAATCGGGATTAAAAATGAGATTTCTTTTGGGTCAGACTGAGACTATTCCAGATTTCCTGGAGTACTGATGGCCATAGTTCACTCTCTGCATGCGAGCGTGGGGATCCAGGGAATTAGCTGTGCTCTGCCAACTCTACATAACAGACCAAAAATTAAAGCTTAAAATTAAAAAAGCTTAAGCCTGTGTGTGGGGCTTGAGGCAAGAGGATGGATGAATGGTCTTGTGAATCCTGTGGGCTTTGATCATGTTTCAGGTTGCAAATGCAGGGGAATGAGCCCACTGATGCAGTGTGGTGTCTTTCTGCCTTGTGCTTCTAAGTGAAGGTTTTTTCAAAACTCAGCGGTGAGACAAATTATGAAAGAGGAAAACAGATTTTCAGCTGTACTTCAAGCAAAGGTGCATGGCTTAAGGACTTCCAGGGAGCAGAAGGAGACCAGTTGGGGAACACAAACACTGAATTATTCTGGGAAAACTCAAGTTGAAAATTCTGTTGTGACCAGCTAGCTTAATTTCTTGGAAAGTGCAGTGAGTTCAGTTGTTTCCCTAGAACAATGCTTTAGGAGTGTGCACTTGGATTAGAAGTAATCCTTCAGCCAAGGACGTGGGGTCTTGGAAAAGCCATAACCTAAGGGAGCTCAGAGATGGCTCTTGGAAAACCGTAGGAATATTGTAGACAGTATAGTAGATGTAATTCAGACAAGACTAAGGAGCTAACAGAGGTTTTTATTGCCAGAAGTATCAACTCCTGTGTTGATATGGCAAAGGGTGATGCGGGGCCCTGTCCTTTATAGCAGAAAGCCAAGGCAGCCTGTTGGGACAGGGTGTTGAAGGTGGCATTAGTGGTGAGATGGGACTGCAGTATCCACAATGGTAGAGACTCGAAACTCTGGCTTCCTGCTTGCCTTCCTTTGGTGGGGAATGGCAACCTCTAGGGAACTGGGGGGGTGCTCTGGGCAGGTGGAGGAATGGCCTGGTGGCACTTGTGGCATTTCCAGTGCTGCTGGCAGAGCAGCCTGGGGACAGGCTTTGAACTGGGAGGTGCTGGAGGGTACCAGGTGCTGTGTGGGCACGAGTTTCCAGCTTGGAGGAAGAGCAGCAGTGCCTGTGTGTCCTGATCTTGCTGCCTTGCCTGTCCCTTCTGCCCTCCCCTACTGTCAGTGGTGGTGGGAGCAACTCTCTCATGGTCATGGTGTACCACTGCAAGGAGCACTAATAGTGTTGTCTGAAAGTGCTGTCAGACCCTTTGGGCATGGTGGGAAGGCATCTAGAAAATGATAATTTTCTTTTGATGGACTAAAATCTTACTATTTCTGAAATGGGCTTTCTTCCTTTAAATTTAATTGAATTCTTAGTGCTTTATTGACAAGATCATAGGACAAGTTACTGTTGCCCCTTCTCTTCTCAACTCTGTTTCATTTTCTTTTCCTTCTAATACCAAGTGAAAATCCAAGGTTATATTGGAAAAGCAGATTACTCATGTAAGAATCTGTACCAGTTTTATAATCTGAGTCTCATAGTTGGACTCTTCACCATGTGTTACTTTTAACTCTTCTTTATCTGCTTCCCAGCTAACGTTACCTCTGGTTCAGATTTGAAATGGGGAGATTATGCTGGATCCCCTTTGAACTGCTAATGCACACACACAGTGCAGTAACTGCGTATTTAGGCCAGGGCAGAGTGCCCTGTTACCATTTGATTCCAACTAAAATAACTACCCCATGTTGCTTTTCCTTTATAAAAAGTCTGAAAGCCAGCTTTCTTTAATTGGCAGAAATATATATATATATATATATATATATATATGCAACAACTTTAAATATAATCTTCCTTTAATTCTGGCAAGCCGGTTATCTTTTGACACCCTGACAAGCTGTTTGAAACTCACTAAATCTTTTAAAGTCTCCTGTTAAAATAAAAAGGAATAGCATTTTATTTCAGGACTGGCTTGAAAGGTTGCAGTTTAAGAGATGGGTAGAGGATAATTTTGGTTGTTAGCAATTTCTGAGATTCAAGTGAAGCAAGTGGCCACCTCTCTAAATTTTTTAAAATAGAGAATAAATGAAAACAAACAACATTCTTTTAGGAGTTGAAAATGTGGGAATTTTACATTTAAGTAAATAAAGGGGGAAATATTTTTAGTCAGTTTTTGGTTCTGACATATAGAATGGCCTGGATTGGAAGGGACCTCAAAGCCCATCCAGTGCCACCCCCTGCCATGGGCAGGGACACCTTCCACCAGCCCAGGTTGCTCCAAGCCCCGTCCAACCTGGCCTTGGACACTTCCAGGGATCCAGGGGCAGCCACAGCTTCTCTGGGCAACCTGTGCCAGGGCCTCCCCACCCTCCCCACCCACACCTTCCCAATATCCCATCCAAACCTACTCTCTGGCAGTGGGAAGCCATTCCCCCTTGTCCTGTTACTTCATGTTCTTGTGAACAGATCCCCTTAAATCCCGAGATTACTAATAGATTTCATACTTATGGTGGTGATATTTATTTCTTTATTAGCCTTTTCTGGAAGGAATAAGGAAAGGCTCATGTCAGCTGTGTAGGGGTTTTGTAATGGTTGCAGTTTTCAGCATTGGTGACACACTCTTTTGTCCATCTGGAAATCTGGGGTTCTTATCCTTTGCTAAAGCAAATAGTCCTGTTCCCCAAAGCTGGGTAAGGGAGAGCTTTGGGTTGATATTCAGAGCTGCCCCATGCATGGACAGAAGCTTTTTTTTTTCCTCTCTCACAGAACTGAAGTAGCATATTTTTTTATCTTAAAATGTTATGCGCCACTCTTGGTTGTATTATTTAAGATGATGGAAGGGTGTTACATAGGAGGGAGCATTTGAACAAAATTGAGTATCTTGATGTGGTTGCTTGGACAGGCTGGCAGCTGTGCTGGGGCTGAATTTAGCTGTGAAGGTGTGGAGTGCCTGGGTGCTAGAAACTCTCTGTGGAGATGGTTAACCCCCAGGCTCTCCAGCTGTTGGTATTTTTGAGTAGTTAAAAATAAGTTGTTAAAATAAACAGAAGCATCCCAGGACTGCATCGTGTCGAGCTGTCCGTGCAGCCCTTGCCCAGCCCTGTTTGGGAGTGGGCTCCATGGGACTGGCTGTCAGCTGTCACTTGTCAAGCACTGTTGGAGGTTTTTCTCATCTGAGACAGGCAGCTATTTCTGTTTTGGCATTTAGCCATGTGGACACTTTTTCATACAGGTTTGGGAAGCCTCTGGCACAGCAGTTATAACAGTTCATCTCCTTTCTGGTCATCTGCTGCTGCCTGCGCATCTCTGACCTTGAGGACCCACACTTTCTGTACTAAGTCCTAACTGTTCTCCCAGCAGTTTCTGAGATGCAAAGAGATCCAAGAATAATAATGTGGATTCTAAACCTTGCTGCTGTGTAGGAACTGTGGAATTGGAAACTGCTTGAAAAAGCAGGGGAGAAATCCAAAATTTACTCCCCTGACTGTATGCAGACATTACTTTTATGCTTTCCAAATGCCTTCTGGAGGAATTGCTCTAGCTGGGTAAAGTGGCCTTTGCTTTTCATAGTTAACCAATGGCATTGTTACCATCTGAAACCCAAATTCTTTCCTCCTGCACCAGATGCAGACCCACAGGCTATGAAATGCTGAAGCATTTTACGAAGCAGTGCCTGGCTTTGAATTCAAACCAGGGCATATCCAGCCAGGTCATCGCTCCGAGTTGTTTACAGTCCCAGGAGCTGTGGCAGCTCGCTGTGTGTTTACTGTGCTTTCTGCTGCTTTCTGCTTAACTCCTTTTGCTCAGGCTTTGAAGGCATTGTAGCTCGTGAAATAACTGCAGCCCTACAAAGGCGTGCTGAATCTGCCTCTCCAGAGGATTCTGGCATGTTAAAACACCTGTACAAATGGAGATCAGGACTGAAGTGCTATTTCCCAACCTCTCCTCCCTGCCAAGCCCCTCTGCCCCGATGCCATGTGGTGGCCATACTCAGAGGTAGCCCCGTGCACTAAGGGTTGGCTGTATTTTACAAATGTGTCGTGTTTGAAGGCTTAGGTTGGCTTGCCCAGGATCCTGGCAGCCCCTTGGGAAGCGCTGTGCGGTGTTAAAGCCATCCACGTGTCCCCTGTGCAGGTGACCTGATGAAGAGCGCGTCGGGGGAGTTCGCAGACGACCCCTGCTCGTCGGTGAAGCGCGGGAACATGGTGCGAGCGGCGCGGGCCCTGCTCTCCGCCGTCACCCGCCTGCTCATCCTGGCCGACATGGCAGATGTCTACAAGCTGCTTGTCCAGCTCAAAGTGGTGAGAGTGGTTCTTGGCTGTGCCCTGCCAGGTGTCTGTGTCACCCTCGTGCTGACCCTGCGGGGTGTGTGCGCTGCTAGTGCCTTGAGCAGGGAGGGGTTTGGGGTTTTCCTCCCAGCACAGGGTGTGCAGTGGACACCTGTCACTTGTTTTACACTCATTGTCAGCAACTGTTGACGTTGAGTTCAACTTCGTTCTGAACTTCTAGTGTAGAAACTGTCTCTGTGGCTGTAGGTGATAGTTGGCCCTTTCATCTTACAGAAATCATTTGGCTTTCTTATAATTTGGGATGAGGAGCTTCGGCAGACTAAGTAAAATGAGAGTGGAATATTTGAGTGAGGCTTTTCTTCCCTGGAGCAAGAGGATGGTGGGTGATTGGTGCACAGTTTGAAATGAAATGAGATTGGATACTGAGCCTACCTTTGCTCATGGGCTTTGAGGATTTTCTGTGTGCCCTTCAGTGGCCACTGCCACAGCTCTGCCAGGGCCCTGGGCTCCTTCATGCTCTGCCAGATTTGTGTACTTGACTGTCTTTGGTAGCTGGTGAGTATGAAGTAGTAGCTAACTTGTGTACTGTCAGCCTTTGAAGTGTCTCTCTGCAAAAAATAACGGGGCAGAGGAAGATTGCTTTCTCTGTCTGCCATGAAATACATTCTTAATTACTTCCTGACCTGTGGACTGTATTGCTTGGAAAAATATGTGAGCATATTTTCTTTTAGGTGGAAGATGGTATCTTGAAACTGAGAAATGCTGGCACAGAGCAGGACTTGGGTATCCAGTACAAAGCCCTCAAACCAGAAGTGGACAAGCTTAACATAATGGCAGCCAAAAGACAACAGGTATAGTATGGCAGCTCTTTCTTCTGTATGTTATTTCCTCTTTACCAGAATAAAGGAACCTTGCTACTCTTGGACAGGACCTTTTACTTTTTATTTTATTTTATTTTTATTGCTGATACTTTGTGTTGCTCTGCCATGTTTAGGAACTCTGAGCTTGCTTGGTAAGCAGGAAAGGTCTGCTTGGCTGCAGGGTGCTGCTTCTGGCAGAATTTGTTCTTAGTAGCATTTGTTGATGGTTAATGCTTTAGTGCCTTAATGAAATGCTACTTCCCAATTTGAAGCCGTGCAGGTGTGGGTAAGGAAGGGGAAGTGATTTGTGTCCCAGTGCCTGGTGCACTCACCCCTTGGCCACGTTGCTGTCATGGTTCACACAGACCGTGTGCAGTGGGCAAGAGTCCTGGCTGGGCACAGCTTCTTCCAAGGGAGTGAGTGGTGATGCTCATAGTCTTGCACTGAAATGCCCATTTGAGAAGGGATTTAAATCCCTGTTTGTTATGGGTATGTTCTGTGTTTGGATGGCTTGTGCAAAACCTTAGATTGCATGTGAAATTTGTTTTGTTCAACAGCACTGGTGTGACTCATTCTTGTGTAGGTAAGTTTTCAAAAGAAAGCGGAGGTGTGGGCAGTTCCACTTATCAGGAACAGCATAATTCTTGTAAAGCATTTTTTTCTCTTTGTTCTGCTGATATGTACAAACCAAAATTGCTTATGCACCTCTGACACTTCTTGGGACTTTTTGCAGAGATTTATCTTAGAAAATAAACTGGGTACAGTCTAAAATGGATTGCCAGTTGGTTATGTATCTCAAATCTGATTGCAGTAAATGGGAGTAGGGTTGTGATGGCAATGCAATAAATGCTTCTAAACTGCTGTGTGATAGATTGTTCTGCACTATGGGAGGTGGTTGTACAAAATCTGTAAATCTGTGTGCCTGCTCGAAGTGCCCTCCCTGCTTGGTGTGTACCTTACAGAGGTCACATATTGCCCATTCATTTTGAAGAGTCTGACAGACTTTTTTTTTCGCCTTTTCTTAGTAAGGCAGTCTTCACCTTCATTTTCATCACCTCTTTGTTAGATTTAAGAGGTAACTTTAAAATTATGATGCTACCAATAACTGTGTTCATTCTTCCTTTTATAAACTTGCTGCTTGTGCTGGACTCAGAAGCTGTATCTAACCATGATGCTTCTGTTCCAAAACAGAGGTGATGGTGCTTTAGAGAATTGCAGCAGGGAGTGTTTGGGGAAAGACTTATGGACTTGCTCACTAATCTTAAATTAGCAGTAATTACAGTCATTGGATTAATTTTGTCTCATTGGAGGTGAACAAGAAGTTGAATTAGATGATATATTTATTCTTCTGAAATTAAGTACCCAGAGTCTCTTGAGGAGAGTAAACGTCATCTTCTAGGTGTGATTAAAGAAAACATTCTGGTTGTGAGCCTGGGAGTTTAAATTACAGATGATCTTGCTTCTCCTCGGCAAGTGCAAGACAGGACAGCTTTCAAAATGCTGGTCCTGTGCTGCAGAGAGGAGCAAAAATCCAGTGTTGGATTTTGAATTGTGGAGTTGTGAATTGCCCTGCAGTTATGGTGGGTTTTGTTGTTATGAAGCTGTTGTGTTTTGCAATCAGCTGAGCCCTCAAGAATAAGACCACTCAGCCAGCAGACAAATCTGAGCACACCAGGCAGAGAACCTGCCTGTCTTTTGAAGGTGCATGGAGATGGCGTGGGGATGTTAAACGCAGGGAATGTTCTCAAATGCCTTTTTTTTTTTTTTTCTTTTTCCCTTTAATTTTCCTAACAGGAACTGAAAGATGTGGGTCACCGTGACCAAATGGCGGCAGCCAGAGGAATTCTGCAGAAGAACGTTCCCATCCTGTACACGGCATCCCAGGCCTGCCTGCAGCACCCTGATGTCGCTGCCTACAAGGCCAACAGGGACCTGATCTACAAGCAGCTGCAGCAGGCAGTGACGGGCATCTCCAACGCCGCCCAGGCCACCGGCTCCGACGACGCTGCCCAGCAGCAGGGCGGGGGCGGAGAGCTGGCCTATGCCCTCAACAACTTCGATGTGAGTTCAGAACCCCTGGCCTTTAGAAACAGGGTGCTAACTCACCTGCTCTAGTGGCAGCCGCTGGCTGCTATTTATATTGCCTGCAAGATCACTTTCTGCTGAGGTGACGAACGTTGAAGGTGGATAGGGAGGGGGAACTCCAGTCTAGAGGCTTTCCTTTTACCTCTAGTCCTGGAGGGGAAGGTGCCCTCCCCATCCCCCCCACCACAAGGTCTCCATGGCTCTCGAAGAGACCACAGGAGACGAACAGCTGGCAGGGAGAGCAGGCAGAGAGAGTTTATTATTCTGAATAACTGCTTAAATACCTTTTAGGGGGATTACAATGTGACCATTGGAAGTCCAGGAGGTCTGCCACTCCCCGGGCAGATGGAGCTCGTTAGCCCGTAAGGCAATCCATCTACGTCCTGAGGACCTTGCTGCCACCGTCCAAGCGTGCTTGGCCCCGGCAGATGAACCTCAGGATTAAAGGGTGGGCTCAGTTCCGCGCACACTGTGTCTCACCTAAAAAATCCAATGCGCAGGCTGGAAGGTGGAAAGACCTTCCCCAGATCTTCGTTCGCGAAGAGACTGGCCATTACTTATTACTTACTTACAAACCAACCAATTACAAGAAAGGGTTAACAACCAATAGATGAGCTTTCAGTTATCTCTTAGACATTCCAAAGGTACAGGTAAGAGGGAAGGAGAAAGGTTTACACAAAGAGTTACAAGACCATTGTGGGAGCATGTTCACTTTAAACAACATTACAACTTCTACATCCTTTATATATTGCAAAGTTACCCCAACACTGAGGTACAGCAAGTCATAGGTAAAGTAAGAAAAAAGTCTTTTTCCAAGCTAGGGTTGATGGGATATAGAGTTATCTGTGTGGTTCTTGGTGATTGAAGGCTGTCAAATTAAACTAGCTCTGAAATAGCAGTTAGCCTACTGCTACCTTAGATGTAAGCCCTTGGTTTATTTGAAATTGATTATTTCATAATATATTTATATAATGTATTCTTGTAGGTGACAGAAATGATTTATTAAAAGTGAATAATGTCTTTGGAATTGCCCAAACTACCTATTGAGAGGAACATGAAGTGGGAAGCTTAATATGATCCTTGGTTGGGGATGAAGTCATTTCACACTGATGTGTTGTACTGATCTGTCATGTTCTTTGTCTCATGTTCAGCACGTTGCTGAGGACAGCCATGCATTTTTACTGAGATCTCCTTCCTTTTGAAGCCAGGATTCTGTGTCTACCACTGATTCAGCCTCTGAATTTTAAACACCTTACCTCCAGAGCTCTATTTAATATTGCAAAGCCATCACTCAAAAGGCAATTAATAGTTATTTTGCCAGATTTTGCTCACCGTCTCCTCTTCATTCTTACCACTCTTGTTCCTCCCTTTCTGCCATGTTTTTTTACCAGGATAAAGTACTATTTGAGTTTTCCCTGTGCCTGGTGGGAAGCCTTTCTCTGTGATCTCTTGGGTAACAAAAGGATGTCATGGCTGTCTTGATCTTTCTGACTGACTTCAGTTTTCAGTCTGCCTTTCTTATTCTGTCAGCTGTGTGCTCAGTAAGCCTTAGGAGTGTGCCTCAGGTTCCCCTGAGGGACCACAGCTTCTCACAGGTACCTGTGGGAGGGGGAAGCAGGGACTGACTTGGGTACCTGGAATGGAAGAACCAATGCCGTTCAGGTCTGTGGACTGGCTGATCCAGCTCGAACCATCTAACAAGATTTCTGATATATCACTGTATTTTACAATACAAACTCTCCAATATATGGCTGGAGGCTACTTTTTTTGAGTGTTGCAGTTGCATGAGGCTTGTGAGCTTTGAATTCCACTTTGTGGGGCTCTCTGCTAGCAGCAGTGCTTGATCAGCAGCCCAGCTCAATGCACGGTGTGTGCAACAGCTCTGTCGTGTCATCCCTGCCAAAGGAGGCTGACAAAACAAATGTGATGAAGTTCTTGGCAGATGTTATCCCTGCATTTCATTTCCTGCTGCTGCTTGAGTGTTATTGCGCTCCTGTAATAGAGGCTTTGCACACACATGCCCCCCCACACCCCAGTGATGGTAAAATATTAAATGGCTACCAGCAGATAACAAGCTGATTGTTCTCTCTCCTTTCTGATAGTGCAGTCCATGCTCCCGTTGTATTAACCACATGGCTAAAAGCTTCAGGAAAAGTGAGGAATGTGTTGGAGAGCACATGCTGTGTTCTCCTCCTGCTGTGGTGGCTGAGTGGTTCCTCCACTGGGGTATGAAGTGCCCTGGCTGGCAGGAGGAGCAGTGGTTGTGCTGTGGCTGCTGAACTTGGCTGATGTACAAACTGAGAACCCTTGGTTCGTTCTCTCATGATTAGCAAATCTTGCCCCTGTACTGGGAAGAAAACACATCCAAACCCTAAACCAACCACCAAACCTTCAAATGGACAAATAAGTTTTCTTTAAGAAATTAGAGACCTGATGAAATAAATGACCAGCAAGTACTCAAAGGTGGTAAATCCTGCACAGCTTCCTGGGCAACGTCCCTGGCTGGTGTATTGGCCTCTTGAGAGCAGATAAATCAGTGCTTCTGTTTCAGCCTTGAGTCTCTTGGTATGCTTATGAATATTCTGGCAAAATAAACCTGTGATAACTTTCTATCATGAAGAAATGGATTTCTGTGCTGTTTGAAAGCTTTGTGTTGATATTTCACTGGGGGAGTTCTGAGAATAGAGTTGCATTTACCTGCCGAACAGCAAAGAGAAGGAAGACTGGACAAAGTAGGACAACAGAGCACTGTGTACAAGGCTAATTTTGGATGTTTGTTTTCTTGTTCGTGGTGGGATAATTATATCTGACAAATTAACTAGTGAAGGCATGTCTGGATTGACATGTAGTTAGGAAGAGTTCTGTACTTTGAACCTTATTTGTGCTGGCACGTTCAATTTTTGCCATTCATGTAACGAGGCTTCCTGTGGCCAAGATTTGTTTAGCTGTCAGAGCAGCACAAGAAATGACTGGCGATGTAATCTGCTGGGGAACCTCTTAGTAATTTTACAGAACTACTCATGAAAATCCTCCTCAGTGCCAGAACAGTGTCAGTTGCCTTTTAATGCCTGATCAGGGCGTTGCTCTAAGTGCTGGTTGTGTTGGTGACTTCTCAGTAAGTTGCTGCTTGGTCCGATCACTGATTTTGCGGGACCTTTCTTTTACTAGAAACAAATTATTGTGGATCCATCGACCTTCAGCGAGGAGCGTTTCAGGCCGTCCCTGGAAGAGCGCCTGGAGAGCATCATTAGCGGCGCGGCGCTGATGGCTGACTCATCGTGCACACGTGATGACCGACGGGAGCGCATCGTGGCCGAGTGTAACGCGGTGCGACAGGCCTTGCAGGATCTGCTCTCCGAGTACATGGGCAACGTGAGTAGCTCCTGCTCTGGTGGCGTAGTTTGGGTGGCTTTTAACTCCATGTGATGAGCTCAGGAGTGGAATCGAAGCTGGTTTGTTCTGGTCCAAACAGAGTTTGAACAGTTAACAGTAGTCCCAAAAGGTTTGTCTTGAGGCAGGATGAAATGTATTTAAATCATCTATGATACTTATCTTGATCTCTAATCTTCCAAGCAACTGTTATCAAGTTGTTAACCCTTTGGCACTGCTTTTAATTCGTGACTGTTAATGCTGGTTTGTGTAGGAATTCAGTAGAATTAGTCTGTTTTTCCACCTTGGTTTACATTAAGTAGTGGGGCTCATGCACGAAGTACTGCTTTGCTTCTGTTGACTCTTGGAAAGTTTAACTGTGTCATCTTTTTAGCTAAAGGCATAAATTGTCAGAATCAAGTTAGTTATTGTCGCTACTCAGTTTGAGTAGAGGTGATGTATGAAGTCAAATATTTAGTGAAGAATCCTGAGAGCGGTTTGGTATAAATATTGGGCTCTGAGCAGCTCTTTTCCAGTGGTTAGGCATTGCATGTGCACACACAGTATTTGAAGCCTGGGAGTGTTTCTGCGGTTGCAGTCAGTATCATGTCATGCGGATGAGCTTCTGCAGCTGAAGGCATCATGATGTAATACTGGACTTTCTTCCCCCCCATTGCTCCTTTGCTCTTGTCCCAGCAAGTTTTCATCTGAGTAACTTGCTGTGTTGAGAGTTGAGCTCGGGATATCATAAGATTGACACTGTATCTCGTTGTTAAACGTGAATACTGTTAAAGCTGATTTTGGAAATGAAGTTACAGAAATAGCAATAACTTAAGCAATCTATGTGGCTTGTAGAACTGTGGCAAGTAAAATTGTCTGAAGAAATGTTAATGGGAGTCTTATTTATGCTTTTGAATGTGTTTGAGGTGAAAGTTCAGAGATACCTTTTTTAGACAGTAGGACTTACTTAGGAGGCTCAATGTGTTAAGTACCTTAACTTCAATCGTTTGGCAAAAGTGACTTCAGTGCAGAGTAAAACTGGTCCAAAGGCTGCCATGTGTGGGTTGGAGTGGTAGAATTTGGGGAACAGATGCAGTGTGTGGTAGAGAGAAAGGCAAACAAGGATTTCTGTTTACCAAAGACAAGGAGAAAGTAATTGAACAAAACTGATGCAAGTCTGATGTAGCCTGCGGGCCGAGCGAGGTAATTCATGTAGTCTGGCTTAATTGCTTGTGCAAGTAGCTTGTGCTCAGCACTGACAATTTGTAGAACTTCAGAGTGCAGCTGGGAAGCAAAGCACGAGGTTGTGCCGTTCTAAACTCCTTTGAGCAGGGTGTTTTATTAGTCTGTGAAGAAGCATCAGCAGAAATCCCTCCAACAAATGTGCTGCTGCACTGGATGGAGCCCTGTCAGCATGATTGAGAATGGAGCAGCCAACAAAGGCTAATTGAACATGTGGAAGAGGTAAATGCTCAGTCTTGCATGTCAGAGTTGGTGGCATTTGTTGCATTGTTGGTCAATACCCATGTGAGAGTGGAGCTGTGACTTCCTCTCACAGAAATGCCCATCCTCCTCCTCAGCCATGTGCTCTTGTCTCTGATACCAAGTTAAAGCAATCATGCTGAGATGGAAAGAATGTATTCCCTCTATCTCCTTTAACACATTGTGAAATTAGTGGAGCATGCTGAATTTTTTAAAGTCACTGCTATGTTATGATTGTAGACAGTGTAGTTGGGGAAATGAGATTAGAAATTCAGTGAAATGGAGTGGAAAAAGCAATTGATAAATTATGGTGGAAATGTGGGATGGTGTGTAAAAATCCATACTGTAAACCCCTCCATGACTAAGCTGAAGAATGACTAATAGTTGGGAATCTAAACAGTGAAAACGGTGTGATACATCTACAGGAAGAGTAGGGATGTGCTGACTTAGAGTAGTGGCAGAGGAAATGTCATTTCATGTGTATGTATGATATACCCACAGCTCCTGGGATGCTTTGCTCCAGTCTCCCTTTGAAGGAGGAAGTGAATTGGGCATTAAATCTGTTAATTGCACAGCACTTGCTGTGCATCATAAATCCTACCCAAGTGCTAGAGGAAGAGGTGTTTATTGGCCAAGTGTAAAAATTCAGAGGGAAGATTGGATGAGGAGTACACTGGAAAGGCAGAAGCACAGGAATGCCTTGAGGCAGATTCCCCTTTAGTTCTGAATGCCTTCTCTTTTAGTGGCTTCCTCTAGCTTTTGGGTTTTCTTTCAGATCTCTGGCAATAACCAGACTGTTTCCTAGATAGCTTATAACTCAGTTTAGTATTTTGGACCCAGAGTTTAACTGTTTCTGTGTGCCTGTCCTTGAGGGTCTGTCAATCTGCAAGCATTGGAAGTTGTGTTATGGTGTGTGGCAAAGCTTTTAGCTAAATAACAGTTTTTGGTGACAAACTGAGTTGTAGAACCCCTTGACCTCTGCTGGTGTGGTGATGAATTCTGTGATTGTGCTCCTAAAAGGGCAGGATTTGCTTCTTCAGTAGTTTGTTACAGAAGTTTGAATCCTGTTTTTCTCAGATGGGTGTCTGTTATTTCACTTTCCATCTAACATACCTATTGTGCCCTTTTCAAGAGCAGTCCGACTAAATTTTGTGCATCAAGGCCGGTGTCCTGTCATGACAGTGGTCAGTAGTGGATCCTGCAAGCAAAAGGACAGGAACAAGGGAGGTGTGTAGTTTTCCTTACCCCAAGTAACCCCCCAAGTGCTGGCGTTCTGCAGCTCAGGCACTGCCACATCTGGCGTTGCTGACTGCATTTGTTGGCTCTTGATGGACTTTTCCCTACTGAATCTGTGTAGTTTCCTTCTGAACCCTTATAAACTTACAGCATCCATAACCTTCCTTGGCGTGGAGTTCTGCTTAAATGGGTGCTCTGTGAAGAAACATCTTTTGTTTTGAAGCAGAACAGCCTTGTACCCCTTCTGTTGGATGTTTCCTTGATCTCAGTCAGGAAGAGACCCTGAGCAGCTACTCCTTGCCCATGTTGTTCTACGCCACTTAATGTTGTTTTAGAACCATATCATATAGGAGACTTTTTGGTCTTAGCTTCCCCAGAATGAAGTGTCTTATTTTAATTAAGTTTTGCCATAAATGAGATACTCAACAGCTCCTCCCAGCTTTGGCTGTGCCCTCATTATCAAAGAGCACGGTGGGTTGGGATAGGGTTTGTGGGGTGAATGTTCCAGTGCCTGTGTGTGCCTGCATTTCCCAGAAGTTTGTGTCAGCTGATTTTAGCCTAGTCCTGTGGCCTGATCAGCATCTGGAGTGGTAGTGGCTGTCTCCATGTGTAGATCCACTTGGAGAATCCAGTTCACATGGCCCAGGAAATTCTGGGATGAGAATTGCAGCATGTGACATGGCAGTGACTGGGAGATGAGTTTCAGAAGTGTGTCTCATGTGAGCCAAAATGCTGGTGTGGTCACATTCCACCATCTCCTTCTGGGCCTTGTTTGGATCTTCACACTTACTCTGAGGTTTAGGGACCAGAGCTGCATTGGCTGTTCAGGATTTGGGCAGTGCTTTGATACCTGGTTGTGTTGTGTAGTCCTGAACTAACAATGCCTGACTCTGACAACTGCTGAGCACGGAGGGGGCCCTGTGAACAGCTACCCTCAGGATTTAGCTTCTGAGCCGTGGTGGCAGGAGGCTCTTCCTGTGGGTATTCAGATGGGCTTTCATTACCAGTGTCCCCTGAGCCTCATCAGCCACTTGATGACCCAACCCCTTGGTTCATGAGCCACGTTCCTTAAAATGCCATCTGTTCATCTCTTAATTGGAGCATCTGATTCTTTAGCTTTTCACCCTCCTCTTGCACTTCACCAGGGGGGAGCTCTTTTCCTTTATGGATTTTGCTCACTTCCCACAATTCCAACAGAAAATAGTTTTCCTTTTTCAACTTGCATTGCAGATCCCTCCTGGATTGAAATAGCAAACATGGATGTTTATTTGCTTTTGGGTTTTATTACTTAGAGTAAGCTTGATTCTTACTGCTAGTGCTGAATGGCAGAGCAAGAAGAGGAAGGCCTAAAAGAATTCATTACTGATTCTGGTTAGTGCTGTAAAAGCAGAGTAGTCCAAGGTCTTGGTTCTGGGATCAACTGCCCAGAATGCAGTAAATTGCCCACATCAGTTGTAGTTAAGTTTGTAATATAACTCACAGATGGCCAGATCTAGATCTTTGTGTGATCTCTGGCAGTCAGGCATTCTTGGTGCGTATTGTATTAATTAAATGAAAAAGTGTCGAAGCATATTTGAGTTTAGTTGGATATCAATTCCAGACTTAGGCAGGGCAAGAGGACAGAGCAAAGCATCTGCTTGAGTGATGTCAATATTAACAGTGCACCAATGAAGAAGTTAATAGGAAATACAAGAAAATGCAATGAAAGGGTTTTTTGTGTGTCTAACTCTACAATCTCGTGTGGGGGTACATGTTGACTGGTTGCAGTTTGCTCTAAATAGAAAGTATCAAACAGTGTGTTTGTAGACACTACCACCAATGTATCCCAGTTTGCACTGGCAGCTGGTGAGTTCCTCTCCCAGTGCAGAGCAGGTACAGTCAACATCTCTGCTTTTCTGTACTACTCAGCTCTGCCTCAAAGTTAACATAACTGCAATGAAAATACATGGATATCTAAGCTACTGAAAGCAAATGCATAAAAAAAGAACAGTGGGCTGACAGCTGAAATATTTCTGTGTTTCTGAGAAGCTAGTATGTAGAACAGAGAGGTAAGAAAATGTGTCCACTGACACAAATCCACAAACTTCAAATCATGACAGGTACATTCTCTGTACAGCAGCTCTCTGGGGGTGTTATTAGGGCAGGACTTGGGCAGCTTGCCTCAATGTCAGCTGTGTGTAACGCATGGTAAAGCCAGGAGATGGTGGGTTGAGGTTGGGCTTTGAAGCTGATGTTTGGGGTTTAGTAGAGTAAAGAAGCGCAGGCCGTGCTCTGGAAACGTAACC